ATACCCTGCACTTCCTTGGGACTCTTCAAGCAAGAAGGTCATCACCAGATGCAGCCCTTGACCTAAGACTTCCAGAACCCTGAGCCCAAATCATCACCTTTTCATTAAAAATCACCCAGTCTGTGCTATTCAGTCATTAGCAACAGAAAACCAATGCACACAGCAGTGCTTCTGCTGGGCCCTTCAACCAGCAGATCTGAGGGTTCAAGTTCAGGGACAGGAAGGCCTTTTAGTGACCCAAACTGGGAAGTCTGATGGGTGGAGACCATGCCAGCTGCCGGCCCAGGCACCTGCTATGACTGTTCAGCGTGGTCCAGCTTAAGAGAGGACCCTGCCACCAGGACAGCCAGGACTCTGAGCATGTGGAGCCCAGCACATTGGCCTCTGAGCTTTGGAAAACTTATTGCCCCTACCATTGGCCTTCTGCTGGGTGGGGCAGATTTATAGAGCTCAAGCTGCATGTGGGGTGCACTGTGGGCTGAATATTGGCACCACTTCCCCCAAACACCCAAACATGAAAAGCAAGTCAGCTGTTGTTTATTATGTCAATGTTATCGAGATGGGACTTGAATAGAATTAAATCACCCTTTTTAAGTATATGCTGCCATGAGTTTGACAGATGTGTATGGTCAGATTGCCATCTCCATGATCCAGATATAGAACATTTCCAGTCCAAAAAAGTTCCCTCGGGCCATATGCCCCTCATCTCCTCCTGTTACCTACCCTTGATCTCTGGCAACTTCTGATCTGTTTTATTTTGGCTTTTCCAGAATGCTCAGTCAATAGAATTGCTCAGGTTGTGAACTTTCAGATGTGTGTGTGTGTGTGTGTGTGTTTGGGGGGGTGTACTGGGGATTGAACCCAAGGGCACTTTACCACCAAATCATATTCCCAACCCTTTTGTTTTGAGACACAGGGTCTCACTAAGTTGCTGCAGCTGGCCTCGAACTTGTGATCCTCTTGCCTCAGCCCCAGTAGCTGGTATTCCGGGTATACACCACCACACTGGGAGCCCAATACTTTTGAGATTTATCCATGTTGCTGCAAGTATCAACAGGTTCTTCCTTTTAGTGCTGAGGAGAATTTCACTGTGAGGATAAATCCCACTTTGATGGGCAGGTGGGTTGTTGCCAGTAGGGGGCAATAAGGAGTCAAGCTGCTATACATTTTTACACACAGGTTATTCAGTGGGAACATCTGTTTTCACTTCTCTAAACACCTGGGAGTGAGGCTGCTGGGTTGCTAAGTGTACGTTTACCTTCATAGAAAAATGGCAAGCTCCTTTCTGAAGTGGAGACAGTCTATCTTTGTTTTTGTTTTGTTTTACAATTTTTTCTCCTTTTTGCTTTCCAGGGGTGCTGGGGATGGAATCCAGGGCCTCACGCGTGCTAAGCATGTGCTCTACCATGGAGCCGCAGCCCCAGCCTCCCTCTTTGTTTTTATCTCTGTTCATGGATCTGTTTTCTTCTCTTGAACAGATGCAGCCCTTGACCTAGGACTTCCAGAACCCTGAGCAGCCCCAGGACATTTGTAAAAAGACCTCGGACTCGCTAATTCCGTGAGAAACTCAAACTCTAGAATATTCATAGACAGTTTTACTGCTTCAGCACTTTCAGTGTCATCCATGACTCCTAGGACTGAGACAGGGTGGTCCTTTTGAGTGATCAACTGTTCCAGTTTTCCTGAGACTCTTGGTTTTGACATTAGAAGTCCCACATCCCAACCCCTCAGTTCTGGGACCAAACTGGGGCAGGCAGTCACCCTCTGGGTGTCAGGCGCTGTGCTGGACACATACATCACTTGGTGTATGAACCTGTCTCCAGGGTAGGTTTGCTGGTGCCCTCCTGGCACGTGAGGAAACCGTATTGGAGAGCTTAAGTTGCAAGCTTAGGGTAGGCGAAGCCAAAATTTGGCACCAGGTCTCCCAAACCCCAAAGCACCGTGTCTTCCCTGGATGGGAGACCTTGCTTTCTAAGTGCCCAGTTCCAGGATCCCCGGCAGTGGCTGGACTTGAAGACATGGTTGGTCTGGGTGGGGCTTTGCTGCCCCCTGGTGGTGGGTGGGATGGCACAATTGGGTCTGAGACCTGTGGGGCATTCAGAGGTGAGGGAGAGGAATCTTTCATCCCTCAATCTCAAATCTCAAATCTCAAATCTGCTTTCTGTTGTAGGAGGGTGCCAGGTGAACACTCTCCACCAGGCTCTTTTTCTATCCATATGTGAGCCCCTTAATCACTCAGGCCACCAGAGACCCAGATTTGACTTTGTGAGAGCCTGGGCCTCTTCCCTCTCATCCTTATCTGTATAACCAGGACCATAAGAACGTCAGTGACATGGATGGACTTGGACATCAAGGTCATTACCAGCTCTCACACCACCTGCTCTCTACCACCTTCGTGCATTCGTTCACATCATCAATTCACTGTACTTCCATCTGCTCACTGTCCACCATGCCCCATCTCTGTGCCTGACCCTGAGCTGGGGGTGCTGTAGCAACAGCTGCCAACAGGTCAGATGCTGGCCCAGTATTCCTGGCTCTGTAACTCTGTGCTGCAACAATGTCTCGTGTTGTCATTCACTGAGTAACCACTTATTTATTGAGTGTCCATTTGCCATTTGCTCTTTTTTTTTTTTTTTTTTTTTTAGCAGCGGGTGACTTAACCACTGAGCCACATCCACAGCCTTATTTATTTTTTATTTTGAAATGGGGTCTGGCTAAATTGCCCAGGCTGGCCTCAAACTTGTGATTCTTCTGCCTCAGCCTCCCTAACTAGGCTTACAGATGAGCACCACTGTGCCCAACTAGCAAGTGACATTTAAGCTAAGGTAAGAACCCCCTGAGTGGGAGTTCTTCAGGGAAGAGAAGTCATTCCAGGCAAAGTCCTTGTTTTGTAGAGTGTTTAGAGACAAGTGACATACCAGGTTGCTAAATTGTACAATAAAGGACAAATTTGTGTATATGAACCCACCCAGGCCAAGCCCTCTCTGGATTCCAATGACAGACCAAGTCAAGGACTTCCCTGAGTTCCCCCCCCCTTGGAAAACCACCCACTATGGGGCATCCAGGAACAGCCTTTAGAGAACTAATGAAGCATCCTTCCCTTGTCCACCTTCCATCCTCCTGGGAACCCAGTGGGAGAACTGTTCTAGGCTGAGCAGACAGCAGTAGTATTGAGGTTCCTGTCCCTAATATGCTGTGTTCATCCAGTAAATGTTTATTTAGAGTGCCTTGCTGTGGAATGGCACTGGGAGATGTAAGAAATGGCACTGGGAATGCCCCAGACACTGGGATACAGTAAGAAATAAGAGCTGGCATCTACTGTACAGGGGCTCTCGAATGGCAAACAAGAAAACAGAAGCTGTAAAGACTAACAGGAACATGTCTGTAATTGAACAAACTGGGGTTCTGGCTTGTTACAGGAAGGAAGGCCATATTTATCTCAGGCAGAGGCTGTTAACAGGGCTTGAAATAAGATTTGGGTTTGTATAAGGTGACTTGTGAAAGTATGCTTTTGTTCTGGTTTAGATGCTGTCAGGAAGTGAGGACAATTCTATGATCAGATATCTTAATAAATATTTATATTAGATTTGCCAGAGAAACAACCAAGAGAATGTATTTATTATAAGGTACTGGCTCATGGGATCATGAAGACTGACAAGTCCTACATCCGCAGGCTGAGTCAGGAAGCTGGAGAGCCACCAGGGTTGATGATGTAGTTCTGGTCCCAGTTGGAAGGCCAAGACCCCAGTCTGAAGTCTGGTGGACAAAAGCCAATACTGGATCCCAGTTCAGAAGCCATCAAGCAAGAATTCTGTCTCCTTTGTAGGAGGGATGTCTTGTTCCATTCAGGGTTTTAACTGATTGGATAAGGGCCACATATTAGAAGGATATACTCAGTCTACCAATTTAAATATTAATCTCATCCAGAAACACACAGACACACCCAGAATCATGTTTGACCAAATATTCAGGAACTCCATGACCCAGTCAAGTTGACATGTAAAATTAATGATAGCCAGGCACGGTGGCACGTGCCTCTAATCCAAACAACAGGGAGGGAAGCTGAGGCAGGAAGATCACAAGTTCCAGGCCAGCCTCAACAATTTAGTAAGACCTTGTCTCAAAAATAAATAAATAAATAAATAAAATGAAATAAAAAGGGCTGGGGATGTCACTCAGTGGTAATGTGTCCCTGGACTCAAGTCCCAGTAACAAAAATAAATAAAAATAAAAATTGGTCACAATATGTAAAAGGAAAGAAACGAATCAGGGCTGGCGCAGGTAAGAAGCCGCAGTTACAAGTATTAGCTGGAGTGGGAAGATGTGGGTCTCTTTCTGGTAGGAGCAATATTCTTGCTTTCGCGAGTTTGGACAGGACTGCGGAGCGCTCTAGGTCTCCCTCCATCACAGTCCCAGGAAGGCCTTGTGCGATGTGGGTGTTCTGTGGAGTTAATTACGTTCAACAGAACCTCAGGCCTAGCTGTAAACGTCTGGCCGGTCCCCAGACTGGAGGGGCGGCTGTTCTCTTCCTGGTAAAACAGCCTCATGCCCTCGGCTGAGGAATTCCAAGGTGACAGAGGATATCCGGCTCCCAGTTTTCAGGAAGCTCAGTGACATGTTTGCGCCGTCTTATATAAATGGAGATTGTTGCAAATGGGAGTTCGGGGACCCACGGACCTGCCAGGACAAAGCCCAGAGGCGAGGGAAGCGCGGCGGGAGCAGGAGCTGAGAGCCCTCTGCAGCACGGTGCCCGCTGGAACTGCAGAGGTCGGCCCGGACCACTCGAGCGTGAGGGGCCACCTCGCCCCCAGAGACGTGGGCGTCCAGCCGCACAGATTTGTTCAGAAACAGGAAATGAAATCAAGCCGCTTGGATCAAAATAAACCAGACCAGCCTCGGGCTCATGAATATTCAGCAGGCCACTTCCGTTCTGCGACTCCGCCCCGGCCCGCGGCCACGCCTCCCGCGCACGGAGACTGCGCATGCGTCTCTGGCTCTGTCGTCATAAGGGCGCGCCGCGGTCTTCGCTCGCCCAGGAAGTGGGAGAGTTGCTATGGCGAGTCCAGCCGCCTCGTCTGTGCGACCGCCGAGGCCCAAGAAAGAACCGCAGGCGCTCGTCATCCCCAAGAATGCGGCGGAGGAGCAGAAGCTTAAGCTGGAGCGACTCATGAAGAACCCGGTGAGAGGAAGCGCGGGCTCCGCGGCGCGTCCGAGGCCCACCCCTCTCCGCTCCGGCGCCTCTGGGGGTCCGCGCACCCCTATCCCCCGCCGCCAGACTGGAGGTCTCGGCACCCTAATTCCAGAGCAGTCCTTGGGAACTGTCCCGGAAGAGATGGCGAGCTTCCGTCTGTCCTTGTGTAGAAACCTGCCTGAAGGTGCTGCGGAAGGCTTCACGCTTTTCGGTTGACTTTCCTAGGACAGAAGCGTTAGACTGAGAAGGTGGAAGCTGTGAGTTAGCAAAAGGGCTTGTTTCTTCCAAAGAGCACTCACGGTTAGAGAGGGGGCAGCCAGAACACCTGTGCAGGTCGTGCCTTAGTCCCTCGCGCACCCGTCCAGGCCTCGCTTCCCCAGGTCCTAAAAACAATCGGATGAGACGGTCCATTTCCTGGACCTTTGACTAGAAAAGCTCGGTTTTCCTCCTTGAATAGTGCTCAAGTCGGAGGTTGCTGGCCATTAACGGTGACAGGTTTCTGAGTTCTGCCCTGGAAAGTGTAGCCCTGGGAAGTCTACGGCATGAAATAAAGGCAAGGCGGAAAATCAGCTCCGGGTCTGAGTAGCAAAGCCTACCCTCTTCGCTAGTCTTTGGTTATAAGAGATGGAAGTTTGTCAGCAGGTTTATACTTAACAGATGCTTTCCTGTTTAAATATTGCAGGACAAAGCAGTTCCAATCCCGGAAAAAATGAGTGAATGGGCACCTCGACCTCCCCCAGAATTTGTCCGAGATGTAATGGGTAATGTCCTTTATCTGTGTGTATAAATAAATTTAAAGGTAGATATATATACACACACACACCACACACACGTATATCTCCTGAAGTATTTGTTAAATAGATCTTTGGTAAGAAAAAAATGTTCAGTGGTCCAGAATTTTGTTCTTACAGTGATGAGGTACAGTTGCTTATGATTTGGCACAAGACAACTTTCTTCTGTGATCTTTTTTTTTTTTTTAATTAAAAAATATTTTTTTGTAGTTGTAGGTGAGTGGAATGCCTTTGTTTATTTTTATATGGTGCTGAGGATCGAACCCTCTCGCATGCTAGGCAAGTGCTCTACCACCCAGCCCCAGCCCTCTTCTGTGTTATTTTTAATAACACATTATATTTTTTCTAAATGGAAATATTTTTATTATTTTAATGGATTATAAACTAACATGCTAATTATAAATAGAAACAAGTAATACATAGAGATATAAAGAATTTATACATATTTAATTCTGCTTGAAGCGTTTTGATAAAGCTTTCCAAAACCTCTTTATCATCAACATCACTCATTTAAGAAAAAAATGCTTTTATAAGAATACAGGTGTTCTGCACATACTATTTTTTAATCTCCATCTTTTTACTTAAAATATCGTGGACACCTTTCCAACTTGCTAGAAATCTAGCAGCCAAATGTGAAATAATGGAGGGCTTGGGGAGGTCATTTTCTTCTAGATTTTGGTCTTTAAATCACAGTTGTTCCTCCTTGATAATATGTTAGAATGGAATGTTTAGTGATTTCATAGTCAACATTCACACAACAATTTAATGGTGCCTGTGACATGTCAGACCCTTCATTTGCTCTGGGGTATAAGTGGAAAAAGGCAGGCATGGTACCTTCCATTACTTCCTGCTTTAACTTCAGTCCCTTTTAGTTAAGGATGGCCTGTGTTGGTAACTGGATTTCATCTGGAACTCTGGGTCATTCTGGCTCTAGGTTCAAGTGCTGGGGCTGGCAGTGGAGAGTTCCACGTGTACAGGCATCTGCGCCGCAGAGAGTACCAGCGACAGGACTACATGGATGCCATGGCTGAGAAGGTGAGTGAGCCAGGAGCTGGAGCCCCCTAATATGGGGTTACGTACTTTTACAGCCTTTAGGGGGAAAAGTTCAAAGAAGTGTACACATGCAGCTGGTGGTACTTTGCATAGGGTTTGCCTTACACAGCATGGAAAGCAGAGTCCAGGCCACTCCTAGGTCAGACTCAGTGCAGCAAAATGGCCACCCTAGGAGAGGAGGGAGGCATGGAGTTTTCCATTTGTATAGAAGGGCACTGGAGAGTCGCCTCTCCCCTCCAGGCCATCTGACATGAAAAGGAATGGCAAGCCAATTCTCTCTTGTTCTTTCTCAGCTGATGCCTGTGTGCAGTTAGTTGTTTTGTGTGAATGGTGTTGTGCTTTCTATTTGTCGTCTTCATTGAAGTTTTGGGTTTTCTAGCTTTAGGGCTGGCGTTTCTTCATGACAGAGGTCAAATGATTTTTTTTAAGAGCTTGAGAATTTTTTAAGAAATTGTAATTTAAAAACCAAGTGTGATGGTGCACACCTGTAATCCCACTACTTGTTGGTCTGGAGCAGAAGGATCCCTGAACCCATCGTTTCAGGCCAACCTAGGCAACTTAGTCGTAATTTCAGGGAAGTGGGGGAGAACCTTTAAACTGGAACTGAAGATGTAACTCAGTGGTAGAGTGCTTGCCTGACATGCACGAGGCTCTGGGTTCCATCCCTAGCACTATAAAAAAGAGTGCAAGATGGGCTGGGGTTGTGGCTTAGAGGTAGAGTGCTCACCTAGCATGCGTGAGCCACTGGGTTCCATCCTCAGCACCATAAAAATAAAATAAAGATATTGTGTCCACCTACAACTAAAAAATATTTTTTTTAAAAAAGTGCAAGGGAGAACCATTAAACATTTTGGTGTTTTTCTTTCCCCCGCATCCCCCAAAGAACCCAGAGAGTTGCACATGTGAGACAAGTGCTCTACTACATCTCCAGACCCCACTCGACATTTGTAATTTCTCAAAAGTAAGGAAGCCATTCTTTTAGTCAAGAAAAGAAAGGCAGCACATTTTTTTTGTGTGCAATTGCTAGGAACAGAGAGGAGTCACAGCAGAAAAGAAAGTAGTGAACCACATTCTTTGAAAAATTGAGACAAACTGGACCCACATTGTATCTTTTTTAAAAAGACATGAAAATTGTCTGAATGCACAAATGTTCATAATGCTAGCACATACACGTACCAAAGGGTGTTGATTAAAACAACAACAGCAGCAAACAACTCCTAGGGCCTGCTGTGTTCTGGTGGTGATGTTCTCAATGCTAGTGGGAAGTTTTGGCTGTCTTGTCACACCTGTCCCAGCTCACTGCAGTAGGTTTGCCGTTGTCAGAAATAATGCTCTGGGGGCTGGGATTGTGGCTCAAGTTGTAGAGCACTCGCCTAGCATGCCTGAGGTCCTGGGTTCGATTCTCTTTTATTTTATTTTAAAAATAAAATAAAAATATTGAGTCCACCTAAAACTAAAAATTAATATTAAAAAAGGAATTATGGGAGGCATTTTTATTTTTAAATTACTTTAGGAGGGAGGAAGTAGAACAGGTTGTTGTCCCAAGCACCATAAATTAGTCTGAAGTTGTTATATAAAGATCCAGAGAAAATACTGGAAAATGTTGCACAAACTTGACATCCATACAGATGCAAAGGTTTTTATTTCAGGCATCAAAACATAAGCTCTAAACTTTAAAAACATAAAAGAGGCAGGAGAATATGCAACCTTTTTCAGTGACTGATAGGACAACACCCCAACAGAGCTGGTCTCAGGTGTGTCAGCCACCAGTGCTCCGTGAAGTTCACTCACTAGTAAATTCAAGGGCTTTTGAATTTCCTCCCTCTTTCTCTTTCCGGTTGTCCTCTCCTTGAGGCTCATTTCCTTCTTGAAGGGGCATCTTCCGCTCTTAGCTTCTGTTACTTGGTTTCAGTTTCCTCCTGTGCAGATCCACACCCCCTCCAGTGCAGATAGCAGCAGCAACGAAGGCACCTCTTCCTCCTGTGCTGGCTCCTTCTTTTCCTCCTCAACCTTTAGGCAGTGACTAGAAGAAATGAAAGACGGCACTTTGTATTGTTCGCAGGTGCTTTTCTGTGATCGATTTCATTATTCTTCCAAACAGTGCTGGCAGAAAGGACTTATAGTTTCTCTCCTTTTATAGATGAACAAATTGAAACTTGGAAAGAAAACTGGGAAGAAGAATTCAGTGTGGACGTGTATACTGTGTGTTTGTGTGTGTGTGTGTGCGCGCTAGCGCGCACAATAGCAAGTGATGCTGCTAGGATGAGTCATTTAGTAACTGTTGCTAAGGTTAGGACTTGAAAATTCCTTCTAGCCATTGTTGTGCTGCACTCTGGTCAGTGGGCAAGGTGCTGGCCGAGAGACAGTCTTTACTGCCGCTGTCCTCAAGGAGTCCTCCACACGCCTTCTCCAGTTTTCTCTTTTGTATTTTGTTGTGCATGAGTCTGCCCAGTCCAGAGTATATCTAAATAATGTGGGGTTTTTGTAGCAAAAATTGGATGCAGAGTTTCAGAAGAGATTGGAAAAGAATAAAATTGCTGCAGAGGAGCAGACTTCAAAGCGTCGGAAAAAGCGGTAAGCACATCATGTCATCATGTCATTTGAGGGCGGGTGGGGGGGTGTCCGAAAGTGGCTGGCTGATGAACGGGCAAGTCTTGTACTCAAGGTTCACCTGTGTGGCCAGCCATGGTGGTGTGCGCCTATAGTGCCAGCTGCTGGGCAGCTGGCGCTCACTGTTGATTGTAGCCTTTCTCTGGGTGTTGATTCCCAGGGCTGGGCTGCCCAGAGGCAGTAAAGTGTAGTTTGTGCTTCTGGCTCACAGGCCACTGAAGAAATGGAGGAGGATCACTTGAGCCTAGTACTTGAAGGCCAGCCTGGGTAGCATAGCCAGATCCCTCAAAGAAATTTAAAAATTTATTCTGTGTGACCTACAAAGTGGTGGGTGTGAATGCCCTAAGGCAGAGCCTCCAGGTAGAAGATTGCCTTCTTTTCTTACCTGGGGAGAGGGCGAGTCCCTCATTGCCCCCCTGCTTAGTTCAGATTCCCCAAATACTAGAGATCTGGACTTTTGTGAGCACACGGATTACTTTGTCTCCTTCAATTCTGCCCTTTAACACTGAATTTATGAAAGTGCTGTAACCAAACTTCCCCTTCAGCTTGTTCCTTAAATGAAAGTCTGACCTCTTCAAATGACTGCATGGTAGTACAAGCTGTGTGTGTGCTTGCAGGGTTCTAAATAAATTGTCCTTCAATTTGTAGGGAGCTGAGCAGGATTTTAAAAACAGTCCATACAACTTCACATGAAAATGTATCTCCAGTATTTCTTTTTCTTTTCTTTCTTTTTCTTTTTCTTTTTTTAAATATGGTTTAGTTGTCAATGGACTTTTATTTTTTTTTTTTATTTATAAGTGGGCTGAGAATCAAATCCAGTGCCTCACACATTCTAGGTAAGTGCTGTACCACTGAGCCACAAACCCAGCTCCTATCTCCAGTATTTCTGAGATTGCTTTAGTCACCTCAGGACTCCCCAGGATTTGATCCTGACTCATGATGAAAATAGTTTTAATGTTGGAATGGCAGAACCATAAGAGATTATTCCTTTTCTTTTTTTTTTTTTAAGACTTTATTTTATTTATTTTTATGTGGTGCTGAGGATCAAACCCAGTGCTTCACACATGCTAGGCGAGTGCTCTACCACTGAGCCACAAGCCTAGCCCCTATTCCTTTTCTTTATTTGTTGGTACCTGGAATTAAACTCAGGGCCACTTAACCACTGAGCCACATCCCCGGCCCTTTTTATTTTTTATTTTGAAAAGGGTCTCACTAAGTTGCTTAGGCCCTCGCTAACTTGCTGAGAATGGCCTCGAACTTGTGATTCTCAGCTTCCTGGGTCACTGGGATTATTGGCCTGTGCCATTGCGCCTAGCTGAGTTTTTCCTTTATTTTTTTATTAAAGTATTTGTGTTGTAGTTTTTGTTTTGTTTTGTGTTTGAGATGGAGTCTGACTGGGACTACAGGGTCATGCCACTGTGCCCAAATGTTAACTTTTTTGTTTTTCTCATTTTTAAATTTTTTTGGTACTGGGACTTGAATTCACTTAACCACTGAGCCACATCCCCAGCCCTTTTTATGTTTTATTTCGAGACAGGGTCTTGCTGAGTTGGTTGGGGCCTTACTAAGTTGCTGAGACTGGCCTTGAACTCTGATCCTCCTGCCTCAGCCTCCCAAGTCTTTGTGATTTCAAGTATGTGACACTGCACCCAGCTTCCAACTATAAGGTTTTTAAAGAGCTATAAAAGGAGGCTGGGGCTGGGGCTCATGCAAGAGCACTTGCCTGGCATGTGTAAGGCACTCAGTTTGATTCTCAGCACCACATATAAATAAAGGAATAAAATAAAGGTTCATCAATATTTTAAAAAATGGGGGGCTATGAATAAGTGTTTATTTTGTAAAATATATAGCAAGATAGTTAAGGAATCAGCATGTGTGTTTTTTGTTTGTAGCCAGAAGTTAAAAGAGAAGAAACTGTTGGCAAAGAAGATGAAACTTGAGCAAAAGAAACAAAAAGAAGGTGAGTGGTATCCACTTCTCCTTGGTTGTAGCCTTTCTCTTGGTGTTGATCCCAGGCCTGAGCTGCCCAGAAGCAGAAAAGCATAGGGTGTGGGGCTGGTTGGCTGGCCACTGAGGAAGTGGCAGCTTATTTGTGTTAGGATTCATTTAATTATAAGTATCAGAAAACAAACTGGCTTAAGCAGAAAAGAAAGACCCTGGCTCTTGTTCAGTCCAGGGCAGACCTCCCTTCAGGTAGGACTGGGGCAAGAGCTCAGTGGCATTACTGATCAGTGTTGTTTCCTCTTGGTCCTGACCTCCTGGCCTCCTACAAGCTTGTGCCTTGTGATTGTGAAGTGCCTGCAACTGCTCTCCAGGGTACATCCTGCCTCTTTATGGTCCAAGAAGAAAGGTTGAGGGACCATCCCAGTGTTCCTAGCAGAAATCTTGTGTTTCTTTGTCTCCAATTAAGTCATACTTCCAGTCAGTTAAGAATGCTTAACAGTGCTTTAACAAAGAGTAGTTTGTTTTTCTAACATGATAAGAAATCTGGTGGTAGATGTCAGTCTGGTGGGTTCAACACTCTTGCAATTCTCTTGGCCTTTGTCCTCAGTGTGTGAGATGGCTGCATGGCTCCTGCAATTATACCTATGTTCAAAGCAGAAGGATAGAGAGATGGTACTTGTCTTTTTTTTTTTTTTTTTTAACTAGAAAGCAAAAAGTCCCCCAGAAGGGCCTGGAGAAGTAGCTCAGTGGTAGAGTGCTTTTTTCTGGCATGTACAGAAACTCTGCATTCAATCTGGTACTACCAAAAAAAAAAAAAAAATGTCCTCAGAAGTGTCCTGCAGAAGTCACCTTATTTATTTACTAGGTCACTTTGCCATCCCTAGCTGCCCTCATGTAAGGTGAATAGAAAATAGAATTGTCATAAATCCTTTAAACTATTCATCATCATCACTGGGAGCTGGTTACTTTGCCCCCCCCCCCAGACATTCTCTTAATAAGGAGGAGTGGGGTGGGTGTTGGGCAGCGTCCACCGTGCTCCAGTCCTGCTTGCTTCTGAACCCATCACAAAGGCCTGGGAGCCATAGGCTAAGAGTGAAGGAGAGATGGGCCTCAGGTAGAAAGGGCCAGGGATGCTAAGGGACAAAAATGACCCCAGTTTGCTGTGTTTCTACATTGGTGTCTGTGCTGTGAGTGACTGGGTTCCTGCATAAACCACTGAGGGTGTTAGCTTGGGGTACAGTTGGGCTTTCCTTAACAGGTGAAATATGATTGACCCCTTTTAGGACTGGCTTCCTCATGAGTTGTACTATGTGACACATTATGATGTTTTTAAACTGTGTGACTGCTCTGTCCTCCCACAATTCCTCAAATTAACCAGCAGGTATTTTCTTAGCCCTCCAAGGAGAAGGAGTGGGCATAACAGCGGGTCTTAGTTCTGTTGGTGGGTTGTAGCTTGACCCTGTGTTAGGAAATAGTTCTCCTTCATGCAGGATAATTTGCCCCGCCCTCTGGGATGTGCTGTTTTTGCTGCTTATTGTCATTGTTGAGTTTCATATTTAGTGACTTCCTGAACTAATTCTGTAAAGCCTGTGTTCTTTGTTGTGTGTGATCACTGAAGTTTCTGCTTGGTTAACTCAGTGGTCAGCCGGAGAGTAGATATTTCTTTAAATGCCTTGAATCAGTACGTCTCCCAGCCTTTGCTGAGGGCTGTGTGTGTTGGAGCATGGCTTTGGCGCCCTGGCAGGGCTTTGCAGATTACCTTTGCCTCCATTTCCTGCTTGCACATAGCCCCAAGAACAGCAGAGTGAGAAATTAGGGCCTTTGTATGTCTTTCTTGGGCCTGTGCATAGCCTTGTGCATGTGTGTGGCCCTCAAGTGTCCCAGCTTCTCCTCTTAAGCTTTTTGGTCATTTCGTCTTTGCTTCAGCTGTTATCTCTGCCTCAGGGAGTCGAAGTGGTAAGTGGCTGCCACTGATTGCTTCTGACAAACACCCAGAGGAAGAAGCTCTTCACACTGAGTGAACTCTCGAGTCAGGACAGCTCAAAACAAGCCTTGCGAGAAGTTTTCTGGGAGCTGCTAGACAGGTCAAATAGGGACAGTGCTCAGGTTGGAACTTTGAGATGCTCTCAACCTGGTTGGTTTATTTGTTGATTAATTGATAAATACTGGGAATTGAACCCAGGGGTACTCTACCACTGGGCCATATCCTCAGCCCTTTTTACTTTTATTTTTACTTTGAGACAGGGTCTGAGTTTCCCAGGCTAGCCCCAAACATAATCCTCCTGCCTCAGCCTCCTGAATATCTTGGGTTAAGGTGTGCACTACCCACCAAGCAAAAAGTTGATTTTTAAAAAATAATCTTTGCCAGTATTCTTGTTGCTTTTCTGGAGGAGCTGATTTTTGGAGGTCATTAGTGTGCCGTTCTGGAAGTGCTCTTATCTTCTTGAATCTTAACCCACCTATGCCATTACTTTTGAAGTGTCATTCTGTGTGCATGGTGGGGGGGGCGGTGTTAAGGATGGAAAGGCTGGAACTCGGGCCTTGCTGGGCAAGTGCTCTGTGTCTCAGCAGCACCCCCGGCCCTGTTGTGTTTTAATTCTATCCATTTTTATAGCTGTTATGACTCTAGGGGATGTTAAGCACATACTGCTGTCACGTTCTGCTTAGATCTGCTTAGAGCTTTCCATCACTTATATTCTTTTACCCTTAGTTACATCTGCAGACATTGAAAATGTAATCAGATGGTGTTACTTTTTTCAATATTTTTATTAGTTGTTGATGGACCTTTATTTATTTATTTACTTGTGGTGCTGAGAACTGAACCCAGTGCCTCACACAAGCTAGGCAAGCACTCTACCGCTGAGCTCCAGCTCCAGCCCAGATGATGTTATTTTTTACTTTCAAACATGTTTTTAAAGACCTCAAGAGGTACTAACCAATGCATACTGTGTGCTCTTCTTCCCTGGTCCCTGATGCTCCAGGTGTCCCTCTGGTCTGTTTCCTGTGAAGGTCTTCCTTCAGTTGTTCATTCGAGCAGGTCGCTGGCTGTGTTTCCGTGGCCTTTCTTCCTGTGTTTTAAGCAGATGCGTTAGAGAATCTGATAATTCCAACTGGCGTTTGTTAGTTGCCTTTTCCCTACAAGTTGAGACTCTGCTGATTCTTCATAAGCTGAGTATTTTTCTCTGTGTCTTGGATGTTTTGAATAGTGTGCAGTGAGGCTTCTGGGTCTCATTGATATTTGTCCAGCAGGCAGTCAACCTCGTGTGTCCAGAACTCGGGTACTTCCCCGCCCTCTGTGGGTTGTGGTTCCTCTGACAGATCAGCTTTTGGAGTTTGCTGTGTTCTCCAGACGTGCCTTGCGTGTGCCACCCAGTGGCCACTTTGGGTTTGATTCTTTGAGTCCAATTCTTAGAGCAATTGACTTGACATTCAGGAGGGAGACAGAGAGGAAAAGCAACAGGCGACTCCCTTAAAACCTGGTTAGAAAGAAATGCTCTCCTCTGTCAGAGCTCCAGTGCTCGCACACCCCTTCTCCACTGCTGCCACCCGGGCCTACAGGATTGCCTGGAAACTAGGGTCTGAGATAAGGGGAACAGTGCGCCCACCCCTAGGCCAGGAGTCCCTTGCTTACCTCAGCCAGACTGCAAGGATTCTTTGGAGCTTTGTCTGCGCCCATCTCTAATTTGGGGTTCTGGGTCACCTTGAGTCCAGGCTTGAGGGATACTGGACAGAGAAAAGCAACAGCAGGAGATTCACAGCTTGCAGTGGCACTCTGTGTGTTGCTTTTCTTCCCCAGTTTGCTTATTTTTCAGAGTCTGTATTCTGTCCAGCTGCCATAGCCATACCCAGAAGGAGAGATGGAACTGAATGCGTTCCCTCCATCCCACCTAGAGCCTCCGATTGGCTCATTTTTTTCCCCCTGGGGATTGAACTCATGGACACTTGACCACTGAGCCACATCCCCAGCCCTATTTTGTATTTTATTGAGAGACAGGGTCTCACTGAGTTGTTTGGGACCTCACTAAGTTGCTGAGGCTGGCTTGAACTCTCGATCCTCCTGTCTCAGCCTCCTGGGCTGCTGGAATTATAGGCATGCACCACCACTCCCAGCTACATTGCCCATTTTTAAATTGGGCTTCTTGTTGTATTGCATTTTAGGAATTCTCTATTTTCTGGATATTAATCCTTATCACATACATATATTTGCAAATATTATCTCCCATTCTGTGGCTTTCCCTTTAACTCTGTTAATACTGACTTGTGACGCATAAAATTTGTGAGTGTTCATGAAGTCCAGTTTGTCTTATTTCTTGTTTTGTTGCCTGTGCCTTTGGCATCATTTCCAGGAAAGAACATGGTTTCTTACAGCCCCTTTCCTGATGCTTTTAGACATCAGGTGCATGCAGCTGTGTGATTTTCAGTCACTGTTCTTTAATTTGGTCCAAGACTGTGAAGAATGTTCAAGACCATACAGCTTTTGGGTAGACTTCTTTTAGAGCCCACAACAGCTATGGGTCTCCTCTACCCTGCACTTCGGGGCTTTCTCAGAAAGAGATGTTTGTGCCAGGCATGGTGACACATGCCTGTCATCCTAGGTGCTGCGGAGGCTGAAACAAGAGGATCAACACAAGTTGAGGCTAGCCTGAGCAACTTAGTGAGACCCTGTCTCAAAATAAAAAGAAGTTGGGGATGTGGCTCAGTGGTAGAGGACCTCTGAGTTCAATCCCCAGTGCCCCACCCCCTGAAAAAAGAGAGGTCTATGCACATGTCCCATCCTGGAGTCACATGATGGGCTACCTGTTCTCAAGCTGAGGCAGGCTAACCTCTTTTTATCACTGGGGCATGAAATCATTTTGGAGGTTGCAACAACCTTTTATAAATTATGGATGAATAGACTGGAAAATATTACTCTGAGTAAATGTTGTTTTCTGAAATTCTTCCCATTTCTGTGTGGGCTCTGGGCTTCAGTCAAACAAAGGCAAAAGTCATTGGTAGGGAGCATGGTCCCACTTTTATACTTAATTGGGACCATAGCACTTTACAAAGCAAGAAGTTTAGTACAACGTGGCTGTACGTGTGCTGTATCAAATGAGCAGAGTGTTGTAGGAGTAACTATCACAGAATGGTTTGTAAGCCCTTTACATCGCCTTTTTGATTTCATTTTGTATTTTGTCCAGTTGAAATGAATAGAAATTCAGGGGGTAATCCCCAGTGATGCCACAAGATAGTACTGAGGCGCCACTGGGTTCCTGATGGATTTGGAGGGGGCTCCGTTACTCACGCTCTTTTGGCTCCTCTGAAAAGCAGTGATGGTCAGTGACAAGGAGTTCTCTTCTATTGTTGGAGAGAAGCTCTCCCTGCTTGTTTTCTGTGCTCATCCAGTAATTCAGCCAATACACCTGCTGTGCGAGACTCACGTCTAAATGACACCACTGGGTGACATTAAACTGGTTTAGATTATTCTGAAGCCTTGAACTCCCAAAGTGGCCCATTGTAATACCAGCATTCCTTATCCTAACGAAGGCCTGTCTGCCAGGGAAATCCAGGGTAGCCTTAAGGGGAATTGAGTAGGCACACTCAGGGCATTTCTCAGCCTCGGCACTGTGGGTATCTGGGGCAGGATTACTCTTCTTTGGGAGGGGCTCTGTTCTGTTCATGACAGGATGGTGTTTTTTTTGTTTGTTTGTTTGGTTTTTTTAAGTTGTAGATGGACACAATATCTTTAATTTATTTATTTATTTTTACATGGTGCTAAGGATCGAACCCAGTGCCTCCCACATTCTAGGCAGGTGCTCTACCACTGAGCTGCAACCCCAGCCCTGGTTTGGTTTTTGAGACAGAGGTCTCTGTGTTGCCCAGGCTGGACTCCAGCTCCTGAGCTCAAGCAGTCCTCCTGCCCCAGCCTCCCAGGTTGCTGGGACTGCTGGCCAGCACACCACACCTGGCCTCAGTCTGCTTTAGTCTCTCTCTGAGTACATGTTTATATGTAATTGCAACATTTTTTCATTTGCTTATTTTATTTAATACTGTATTTCTATTCCTTCATAATTTTTTCAGTGATTGATGATATCCGATAGTTGACGTGCTGTAGCAACCCTTCTCTTTTTATTAGACATTAGATTGATTCATTTTTGTTTTCTGTAGAAGACACTTAAAGTCAAGAGCATGTGCCTGTCTCCTTGCTTCTTTTGGGAGGCATAAATTAACATAAATTCCCAACAGTAGTGATTACTAGCTCAAAGCATAAAAAGAACTCGTGGCTCTTGAAATCTTTTGCCAGCTACTTTCCAAAGGAATAGTACCAGTTTTTATGGCCATGAACCATGTGCAGCAGTGAGTACTTTTGCCCTGTCCTTGCTGGGACTAGCTTTTAGAAACTCTTCTTCCTCTTTGTGAACAAGAGCCATATATATGAGAGGAAATCAAATTCTCATTGAGGATTTGTTAAAATTATTTTTAAAATATAGGTAGAGGGTTAAGGGTATAGCTCAGTGGTGGAGTGCTTGCCTAGCAGGCCTCAGGTCCTAGATTTGATTGCCAGTACTGCAAAAAATATGCAGTGTGCACATACGTACGCACGTACTCATCTGTACATAGAAGCCGTGCTGTCTCCATTCTCCGCACCGCCCCCACCTCTGTACAGCTCCAGAGGTCTCCTATAAAACAGGTTGGACTGTCACTTTTTCTGCTTATGGAACGTTTATTACATATTTGTGGTTCTAAGTACTTTGCACATGTTAACTGGCTTGGTCCTCACGGCCCTGTGAGGTGTTCAGTGGTTACCTGAATTTTGCAGTTACCTAGTGATAATGGTGGCACCTGCAGAGCTACAGTGGGGATGGGCATTGGGCCAGGATTTGATCCCAGGTGTCCGTACTTGCCCATGAGGTAACCCAGCTTGAAACTCAGCAGCCCCGTCATGGTCAGGCCCCTTCTTGTCTCTCCACCACTTTGCCTTCTGCAGGCCTCTGCCCTGCCGAGCCTACTCCTCTGTCCCTCAGCCTTGCTGCATGTGGCCACTGGGCATGATCCTTTTCACACTCTCTGACTTCCGTGTGTCTGGAGAAGTGCTCATCCTTCGCCTTTCTCTCTGTGCACCCCTCCCTCAGGGGTGCCGTGGGGCTCTGGTATCCACCTTGCCCACCTCCACGGGGTTGGCACACACTGGGTTACAGACCCACTGAGCACACGGCTTGCTTGTCCATAGCCACCAGCACTCGTCTCAGGTCCTGCTCTTTTTTTTTTTTTTTTTTTTTTTTTGCGGATGGACACAGTCGCTTCATTTATTTTTATATGGTGCTGAGGATCAAACCCAGTGCTAGGCAAGCGCTCTCTCAGGTCCTGCTTTTTCTTAAGTAATTTTCTTTCTTTCAGAATCGCTTTGGATAATGTAGGACAATGGCAAGGATAACACAGGGTTCTCACACACCCAGTTTCCCCCCACTGTTTTAACGACTCATTAACGGGGTATGCTTGTCAGCATTTGAACCAGTGTGATGATTGTAGTAGCCATAGCCAAGACCCTATTCTGAGTTCCTTCATTTTTAACCTGAAGCCCTCTTCCTTTTCCAGAATCCAGCCTGGACTCCAACCACGTCTAATCACCACGTGTCCTTAGGCTCAGTTGGCTGTGATAGTTTCTCAGACTTCTTTTGGGTCAGGACTGTAAAATGTCTGTCAGTCAGGACTTGCCAGTGTTCTCCTCGTGGCTGTGGAAATGCTGTGTAGTCGGGAGGAAGAGCAGAGGTCAGGTTCCTCTGTAACAGGGAAAGTCGCCCTGTGCAGCCCACGCTGATGGGGGGGCCCAGCTGTGCCCTCCTCTGTGATGGCAGGGCCTCTGCAGGCCGTTTCTGCACAGGGTGGGGGGTCCTTTCTCCTCCCTTTACATCAGGGTGGACTCGTGGGTGTTGATTTATACTTCAGGTTATGATCCAGCACTGCATTATTTATCTCATTCACAAATGGTTCCAGCTTTGGCTGTTGGGAGTGCTTTCACCTGGCCTCTGTCCCTTTACAGATCCCATTTCTGTGGGCTCTCCCCGCTCCTCTCCAGCTCTCCCGTCCTTTCTTGCAGACCCTGTAGTCCACACCTGTCAGGCACATGGCCTGCCTTACTCAGAGTCAGCCACTTTCCTAGAAGTCCTGGCTCCTTTTGCTGCAGGAATGGTATGAGAAATTGAGGTCTGGGGCAACTCAGGAGGCTGAGGCAAGAGGATCCCAAGTTCAAGGCCAACCTGGGCCACCTAGCAAGACCCTTTCTCAAAATCAAATATAAGGGGCTGGGGTGGTGGCTCAGTGGTGGAGCACTTACCTAGCATGTGTTAGGCATAGGGTTCCATTCTTGACACCACATATAAATAAAAATAACGTTCTTATCACCACCAAAAAAGTCCTGTGGCTATTTGTAACATACATTTTTTTAAATATTTATATTTGGTTGTAGCTGGACACAATATCTTTTATTTATTTATTTGTTTGTTTATTTATTTGTATGTGGTGCTGAGGATGGAACCCAGGGCCTCGCATGTGCCAGGCGAGCGCTCTACCACTGAGCCACAACCCCAGCCCCGTAACATACATCTTTTAAAAAATTAAATTTAAGGGCTGGGGTTATGGTCAGCAGTAGAGCGCTCGCCCCGCATGTGCAAGGCCCTGGGTTCGAATAAAATTAAAAAGTTATTGTGTACAACTACAAAGAAAATAAAAATATTTAAAAAAAATAAATTTAAAAAGGGCTAGAGATGTAGCTCACTGGGCGAGTACTTGCCTAATATGCAGAAGGCCCTGGGTCTGATCCCCAGCAGCTCCTTGGAGGAGGAGGAGAGTCTGGAAACAAGTTGTCTCTGTACTGTGCTTTCAACCAGCTCAGCCACACTGTGCTCCTGGCAGCCGTGACAGGGAAAGCACTGGAAGCTCAGGAACTACTCATGGGGCGTCCGCAGAGGCCTCTGGGCCCTTGTTTGGGAAGAGGCAGGAGCTGGCATGTTTGTTGTGGGCAGAGCCTTCTGCTGTAGTTTTGAAAATCCTTTCGCTGGCTGCAGTAGATCTTGAGCCCTCTGTAGGGATGTGAGTCCAGCGTTGATTAGTTAAGGAACATGGGGTCATTCCCCTTCTGTGGGTGATAGGCACTGGTAGTAACGAGCTATACCAAAGCTTGTTTTGTGGAGTGTCGGGTTTCCTTGTGTGCTGCTGGACCTTTTGGTGAGGATGCCCCATCCTCTAAGGTCACTTATGCAATGACCCTTGCTTTGGTATGGGGCATTGGTGGGTATGATGGCTGGCTGTCCAGGATCAAAGAGTTCCTGATGTCCCCTCTGTTCCCCTCCTTTTTTAAAACACTCCTGACTCTCCAAGTGGCTCTGCACGTCTGTAATCTGAATGTCATGTGGTTACAGGACCCAGTCAGTCCCAGGAGCAGCAGTCCAGTAGCTCTGAGGAGGCATCTGGAACAGAGGAGGAGGAAGACGAACCCAGCTTCATCATGAGGCGATGAGGTGCTTGCACAGCAGCCATTGGGTGCCTGGTCATTCTGTGACAGGGGCCCCAAATCTTCATTGTGACCAGAAGAAAAGAGAGCCTGTTTGGCTCAGCTGCCCAGGACTCACTGCGTAGGGAGCACGTGGGAGCTGCTTGCAGTCCTGTTGGCAGGACTCCGCCTGGGGGACAAGGGATCATGTCCTGGAGGGCACTGCCTCGATCCTCCTTCCATGCTCCTGCTTTAGGGAAAGGCCTCATCGCTGACCGCTGGCTGCTGTACTCTGGGATTTAAATGGCAGTGAGCTTGGGGCTGGTTTCTGTTAAGGGAATATTTATTTAGTAAAAAACAAACAAAAAAAAAAAACAGAAAACCTCTAGGCGCTGTTCACATACATGGAACGTTGATCACAGAGCCGTGGAAAGGCTGTGAGATGACACAGAGGCGGGGCCTGGAGGGCCAGTAGTCCTGTTTGCTGGTCAGCTCCCTACCCCTGCCCGGCCTGCAGCCCTGCTCTGGTGCCTGTGCTGTCGCTGGTCCCTGACCCTGTTCCTCCGCTGAGGATGCAGAACAAGCTGCACAAGAGCCACAGATCAGCAGCTCCCAGAACCAGGGGAGGTGTGGGAGGGACTTCACCAGGGGCTGGGCCACAGGAACAGGCCCTGCTGGCGGAGGGCTCTTGGGAACAGTGGAAACCAGAGGATAAGCCGCGGGAGAATCCAGGCTGGGTATGGGGTCTGAGCCAAGCTGCGCTAGGGGCCAAAGCTGCATTTCCATCCTGATGTCACCAGGAATCTAAACAGAAGGGGGACTGAAGTATCCGGACAGCTGGTTGGAACTTTCCTCCAGGTCACAGGAGCCAGAGACAGAGGAGGCCATCCCTCCCGCTGTGTCCTCAGGTGGATACAGTCCAAGCCCTGTGTGCACACCGGCCCAGGGACAAGCAGTGCAGGGTGCTGTGCTGGAGCAGGGAGCTTGGGAGGTGATCAAGGACAGCTCTGATCTCAGTGTCTTCCGGAGATAACCCCACCTTTGACCTGGTGGGTGTCTTGAGGCCAGTTAGGGCAACAGAGACAGTTTGTGTTGAGAGTCTGTGCTCTGTTTTTGGATCATTTCTAGCTCCTGCGCATGTGTGTGCCTTTTATGGATTTGGGTATCAGTAAGGAAAAAGTGGTTTGAGTAAAGGGAAACAGAAGGTTTTACTTCTTTCACACAGAGTTCCCTGACCCCATTGAGAGCCATGGGACATCACTGATAACTTCTGTCCCAGGAGTTTCTCTTTCCCAAGAAGCGGAAATGAAGAGTCAGTCCTAATAAATTAACACATACCCTGGCTATGCATTTGGAAGCCTGCATTTCTCGTGCTGGGGACTGACCAGTTGGTTTTGTGGGGGTTTTTTGTTTTTTTTGTTTTGTTTGTTTGTTTGTTTTGATTGAACAGAAGGGTGCTTTACCATGGAGCTAGATCCCCAGCCCTTTTTTTATTTTGAGACAGGGTCTTGCTAAATTGACCAATTGGCCTCCTACCTCAGCCTCACAAGTTGCTGGGATTGCCCGCAGGAGCCCGCCTCCGTATTTCCCTGAGGAGCAGGGGTTCAGGGTTCACTCTGTAGCATTCGTGGTGCCTGTAGGGTATAGCATTGTCGCATGTGTCTGTAGGCAGGGAGTGTGTGTGTGAGCAACCTGGAGTGACAGGGACAGTTTCCTGAAGCAGGGAACTACAAGTTGTCGCCCCTTGCCATAACGCTGTGTGGATACAGGACCATAGGTGTCAGCCGCCGCCAGCCCTGACTGTCCTCAGATGGCCCCTTTCCACCCCAGACCTCCACTGCTCCCCATCCCTCATGTTAACTGTCAGAGCAGGAAGAAAGGAGGCATTCAGGTCACCGTGACACTGCCCCCAGCCCACAGCGTCGTCTGCCACAGCTCAGATGGTCTCACCTGTCTCCTGAATCTCCTCCCTAAGCCAGTACACAGCCCGGTCTCCATCTGTCCTCCCCACTTCAGTCCAGCCCCACGTTCTCTGTTTGCTTCCACCGCTTCCTGCATCCCACTCCATGGTCTCATGTGGTCCTCACCAGGCAGCCCTTAGTGTGGCCTGTGTAGTCTCACTCGGCATTCCTGGCGGGGCCCTGCTGGCTGGCTTCCTGCCTTTGCTTGCCTCTCAGCTCACCCTGCAGTGCTGGGGCAACCCAGTGTGCTCCCGTGTCCTGTCCAGGAGGTCTTGTCTGACTTTATTTTTTATTTTTTTTTTTTTTCTTTTTAAATTTTTTATTGTGGGTCTTGTCTGACTTTAGACACCGTACTTGCTGGAACCTTGTAAGGGTGTGAACTTCCTCCCCTCAGAGCCCCGTACTCGGGTCCCACTGCCTGCCGAGGGCGCCCCTTCATGTCCAATGGGAGCCTCTAGCTGGTATGAGAAGAATGTGAATTTCAGCCTATCCCCCCATTTCCCCACTGTGGTGAGCTGTGCCACCATCCATACCAGCACTTGAGCCCCTCATCTGAGGGTCAGGGTCATCTTTGGTTCCTGTTTTCTTACCCCCCACCATCATCCATCAGAAGGTTCTGGACTTGCTTACTCTCTGGTCTCTCTCATTCCACACACTCCACAAACACCAGCATCTTTTGGCCACTTCTGCTTATTCCCCACCCCCAATCCATCCTCCACACAGTAGCCAGAGTCTCTTTAAAAACTCACCAGATCTTCCCTCACTGGGGATCAACAGGAGCTGCCAGGCTCTGCTGTCAGACTCAGCCTCCGCCCCCTCATCCCTGGCCATCTCCCCGGCTCCGCCAACCTTGAGTGCCCTGTACTTGCCCTGCTGTATCCTCTTAGCAGGGCCTCAGCCACATCACTTGGAGAGGACTTTCTCACCACCGCCTGTTTCTCCAGCACAACACCTGTCATTATTTCCTACCCTGCCACACCTTCAGCTCCAAAAGGACAAGGCCCTTTGCTCATTCTGGTTTTTGCTGCATCCCTAGTGCCAGCACAGTACTTGGGACATCACAGATGCTCAGTAAATGACCTTTAAATGATTGAGCAAAGCCAGGCACTGGAAGCAGAGAAGTTCTTCAAACCCAACAAACTGCAGATACAGCGGGAAGAACGTTTAGACACCAGTCAATGGTTGGTAAAAAGGGATTGTCCCATGCATGCAGCACCTGGGAGGGACCTGCTTAGAAATCCAGATACCAGGATGATGTCCCCCAGAGATCTGATTCATTACATTTCAGGCCCAAAATATACATTTTAAATATGAGATCCAGGAAGGCTGGCTTGGAGCACCTTAGCTACCACTACTGCTTTAAATTCACTTTTCTGTTTTTAACATTTATCTTTTGGAAAAAAAATGTGAAATTGAGTTAGAGAAGTGATGTTCTACTGACCTTTTGAAACTCAGTCCAGCTCCTAAGGCCACACAGAAGGCGGAGAGACCGCATATCTGGTGATCGTGGAAACAGGCGTGTTCCCCCTTCTCCCCTTTGGAAGTTAATTTCTGTTTACTCTTTGGCATACTTGATGAAAGTGAGCTACGATTACCATATATTAGCATGTATTTCCATAAAGAGCAATCTTAGAAATTAACCTGGAACAAGTCCAAAGAAGCTGTTTCTTGTTCCAGAAAATGTAGCAAATGTTTACTGAATGCAACGTGCTCAACCCAAATGATCCCAGGGTCATTGCTAGGCACTGGATATGGTGACGGTGAGTTTCCCTTCAAGCAGTCCCACACTTTGATCAGGAACAGGACCTGAGCACAACAGTGCAGAGTGCTGTGCAGGCCTCTGACCCTGCCTTCAGGAGGCAACCTGTCATTTTGTGTTGCAGGGAATAACTGGAAGGGAACAGGTGGGAAACTGGCAGTAACACAGCCCTCGGAGCCACCAGTGGCCTGAACAGAGGCAAGTTCCAGCAGGAGAATTCAGGGAGAGGAGGAGGCCAGGATGATACCAGGTTGACTATGTCACCAATGGGGGATGAAGGACTATCCCCTGGGGACATGTGGCCCAGGAGGTGGACAGGTGTGTGAGGGAAAAATGACAAAATGTTGGGCTGGGGATGTGGCTCAAGCGGTATCGCGCTCGCCTGGCATGCGTGCAGCCCGGGTTCGATCCTCAGCACCACATACAAATATACATGTTGTGTCCGCCAAATACTAAAAAATAAATATTAAAGTTCTCACTCTCTCTTTAAAAATAAAAAATAAATGACAAAATGTAGCTGTGGGCATGGTGACGTCAAGGGTCCCTGGGATGTGCACTGCAGAGATGTCTCCCAGGCTTAGGAGATCCGACCTAAGAGGATAGCTTGGAGTCTCGGACCAATATAAAAGGGGGAGATGTTAAAGAGGGTGAGAAAGAGATGGGAGATGGCTGGAGGGGTTGAGCAGTGAGGGAAAGGAATGGGTCTCAGCAAGGTCAGGGGAGAGCCATGGTGGGATATGAAGGGAGTAAGAAAAGTTAGAAAGTATTTACTGAACACAAAGTGCTAAACCCAAATGATTCCAGGGTCATTACTAGGCACTTGGAGTGGGCTTTCTCCTCTTCGTGTCCAATGGAAGCCAAGTGAGTGTAATGGTTTGTCCTCCCAATTCATTCAGGAGCTTAATCCCCAAAGTTTTATGATAATAGTATTAAGAAGCTAAAAACAATCCAACTGAGTTTAAAGGTGGGGCTTTGGGAAAGAGATTAGATTTGAGGGCCCTGTGATTGAATCCCACTGACTTTGAGAGGGAGAAAGACCACACAGAGATACCCACATGCCCACTGTGATCTAATGCAGTTCGGGGGGGGGGTCTTCCCCAGAGCCTGGGCCACTGCATTTGGACCTCATACCTTCAGAACTGTGAGACAAAATAAACCTCATCTTTATAAAGTAGCCTGCCTCTGGTATTTCATTATAGTAATGGAAAACTGACTAAAACAGTGGAGTGTTTGAAATTTTACAGAGGAGCTGCCATGGGTGATGGCAAGGGCTAGGCCATAAGAGTGAATGGTCAAGGGGACAGAAGCAAGGCACCAGGGATCTGGAAACATTAGCTGTGCCAACTGTTGAGTCCATCCTAAAGGGAAAACAAGGACCTTAGTGCCACTGAGTGTGCATGGACTCAAACTGGTCTGTTTCCAAGCAGGATAGCTAAGGCCCTAGGAGAGATGGGACTTGTCCTGACCAGCCATCTAGGAAAGCAGCACAAACTGGCCAACATCCTGGCCATCAGCACTTGTGAGCCTTCACCTGAACCTCCCACTCACCCCCCTTGTGCCTGAGGACACCTCTGACTAGCAGTTTTGTGACTTAAATCTGCATTCAGTAGTGTCTTCACGTGTCCTCCCTCCATCTTCTAAGGGAGAGAAGAGCGCCTTTCATTTGGTTAGGACCTGGGCCCTGAGAGCTGTGGTGCTGCTTCTGTCTGGACATGCTGGATTGTGCTTGGGGTTGGAGGCGTCACCACCTGGCACTGGAAGCTCTAGAGGACAGCACTTCAGGCTTCCTGAGTAAGACTGAGCACTCATGCTGCCCCTGCAGAGGAATTTTCATCTATGATGCAACTACTGTATTTTACAGAATGTTTTCTTCCTCTTTTTAAGTTCATTTATCAAGAACTTGAGGTTGAGGTTTGAAAGACACAGCACGATAGCTTTATGAGGACTCTGCCCTCTGAAATTCAAATGCCCTCTTTCCTATAGCTAAGGGGCAGGGACAGTAATCAGACCCTGGGATTTTCTTATGTCATTGTTAGGGCCTAACATCCCTGTTGAGTCAGTAACCAGCGGGAGGAAACTGGTTTAGTCTGTTTTTAAGTGTCCTGGATAAAAAGGTAACATTCCTGGACCCTGAAGTGCAACTTGAAGTGTAAAGGGATTTAGCCTGGCATTTGCAACGTTTATACTCTCGCAATTGCCGGAAAACCTGGACTGGGTGACAGGAGTGGAATTTTTCTTTCGTTTGGATAAATGTGTCACGGTCGCATGCTGTTGTGACAGATGGAAAAATCCTATGTAGGGCACGCAGCAGCCTACCAGGCACGAAGGAAGGACCCTTAGGGGCCGTCTGGCACTGGTGGGTTGATATGAACCCATCCCGCCTCTCGGTGAATTATTCATGTGCACTTCCTGAAAAGAACGCTCCTGTTTGAATATCTCGGTCGTAAAACCGCAGCGCTCACCCAAGGGTGAGAGGTTCGCTGCAGAGCGCCCGAAGGGGCGGTCGGCAGCGCGGCAGCCCTTTGGTGCGGTCTGTGAGCTCTCCGCGCAGCTCCCGGGGGCCGAGGTTGCTGTGCCGGGTTAGGTGCCGGCAGGTCTCCCTGAGAGTGGGCGGTGTGACCCGAGCGACCCAGACCGGCTCGGTGCGGGCTCCGCGTGGTGCCCGCACACACCCTGGGCAAACTCGGGCGTGGCCGGGCCCTTCCACCCTTTGCCCCACCCCACCCTCCCCGGGGCAAGGGCGATGCTGGGCATCCTCGGAGGCTGTGAACCCAGGCGCTTCTCGTCAGTGCTCAGGCTCACCCACCACAGGCCGGCCCTGCCGGTCCTTGCCGTTTGATCCAGGGCCAGAGAAAGTCCAGTTCGTGAGTAGGTGGCCCGGGTGGGGCCCCGTCCTCTGACTCGCCTCGCTGCCGGCCAGTTATCCTTCACCCAGCGGAGGCGGGAGAGATGACCCCGGCTCGCAGTCTTCCCGGGGCGCAGCCCCACGGTGGTCCCGGCGGGGGAGGAGACCCCGGAGCTCCCGCCCCCCCCATCCGGCGGGTCACGTGCCCCAGCTCCCCGCGGGCCGGTCACGTGATGGCGGCGCTCCGTTGCCTTGGCAGCGGCTGCGGCGGCCGGCGGGGGCGGGGCAGCCGGCGGAGGCGGGGCCGGGGGACCCCGCGCTCCGGGCGGAAGGAGGGAGGGGGCCGCGCTCCGCGCCCGGCCGGGCCACGCCACTGGGCCACGCCACTGCTGCCTGCCGCGATCCCGGAGCGGCGCCGGGGCGGCGGGCAGGGCAGCTCCGGTGAGTGTCGGCGCGGGCGCACCTCCTGCTCCCCCCGCCTCCGGGCGGGGGGCGCGGGGTGCTTCCCGCCCCACTGGGGGGCCGAATCGGACCGGGGACACTGGACGGAGAAGGGACTGGCCCTGGGGAGGCTTGGGACGGAACGGAAAGAGGATGGCCGTGGGGGTGGGGGCGGCCAGGTGGCCAGTCCCGCGGGATTCCGAGCATGGTGAGGTGCCCAGAGGATTCGGAAGTTTCGGGCACCGGCCGAATCCGGGGCTTCGCGAGGGGAAGGGACAGGAGATGCAGGTGGACGCTTGTGGGAGCTGCAGGGTCCCCTCCCCGCACCCTTGTGTGACAGCGACATTTCCCGTGCCCCAGATGTTCAGAGGAAGTCAAGGCAGACAAACTCCAAACCCGGCCCCTGGGAACGATTCCGACCAGCCCGCCTAGGAGAATCGCTGCTTCTTTCTCCAGACCTCTTTTCTCAGACCGCTCCTGATAAAAACAACCAAGAAACCCCAAAAGGTTTAGCCAGGAGAGCATCCTTGGGAGCTTGTGCGTCTGACAGAAATGTCGGCTCCATCTTGGCCCCCCCTTACCTCCTCCCTGAGCCTGGAGCTGGGGACCAGACTCTGGGCCACCCCTTGGGGCACAGACTGTCACCCCGTAGGTCCTGGCTGGGAGGGTGAGGGGTGGGTTTGAATCCTATCCTGGCTGATACCTCTGGAGGATGTAGCTTCCCTACCTTGGGGATCCAGCTCCAGGCAGGCAGGCAGCCCTTCCTGCCCAGCCCCCACTCCCCACAAACACACACACTCTGGGGACATCTGCAGCAGAGTTCAGCCTCTCCCCAGAGGCTGTTCTCAGCCTTCACTTCTCTGAGGCTGTAATCTCCACTCTGACTGGAGCCCAGCTGCCATTCACTGGTGGCCCCTAGGCTTCCCTCTGCTGTACCCCAATGTCCCTTCCTGGGGGTACCAGGCTCCCAGTCTTTTCAGTCCACCCACTATTTCACTGAGTTAATGTGGTTCCAATACAGATGGACCCAGCAGGGCCTAAAGGTGCCCATCACCAGTCTCTCCATCCCCCAGGGCCAAGCACCACCAGAGAGAACCTTGCAGTTACACTGCTGGCCACGTAGGCCCCGCCCCATGCTGCTGCCCTGCTCCAAGTGTCTTCCCACATCTCCCTGCCTGCCAGGCAACCAGCCTTTCCACCTTGTCCCCAGACATGTGTCCAAAGCTGGTCTTCCTGCCTTTCAGAACCCTCCCTGCTGTAGTATCATATCTTTTAAGGGAGGGTCCCTCTCAGGGCCAGTTTAGTACTTGGGTCTGAGTCCCCTAACCTTGCTCTCTGGTGTTGCTGGGGGGTTAGCTCCCTGTGAACTGTCCATTGGACCGCAGGCCCAGTTCTGTTCTGTGTGGGGAAAAGGAAATGTGCACTTCCACATTCTGACACTTTTCATTTATTTGGAGCTAACCCATAGATTGTTCAGTGGGCATCATTTCTTTGAATTCTCCCCAAGGGAAGGGACCTTCAAGTGATGAAGTGCTCGGATGAGTACTGCTGGCTGCAGATGAGGACAAGGTGTAACCGAGATGCCGAGGTTGGCATTCCTGTACGTGACTTGATCCCTTGGCTGATAGAGAACAGAGCAGGGGTCTTGTTGGTTGGCCAGTAAGAAAGAGCTGTGACTTTGTGACCTGGTGGGGAACAAGGATAAAAGCAGATAGAGGGAGACCTTTCCCCACCTCTGACATCTTCCTGTTACCCTCCTAGAGATAGACGTGGATGGATGGTTCCTTTGCTGCTGACTTTGGTCAACATCCCCAGCCCACCCCTTCCCAGGTGCCCTCCTTGGAGCTGGGAACCCCGATGTGCTTCCAATGCCTGAGTGGGCTTTCCAGGAGGCCCAGTGGATCTGATTGCAGAAGTTACTAAGGCCAAGCAAGGTGCCCATGTCCTTGAAGCAAGCCCCAGAGATTAATTAGAGTCGGATCCCAAGCTGCTCAGGCTGCCCCCAGAGCCCCTGGAGACCCTTCAGTCCCCTATTTAGATTAGCAGGGATATGGGTTAAGTTCACAGATCTCAACAAATCAGTCCTTCTGATGTTTGGGCCACATTTCAAGCCCCGTGTCTAGGAGGGGTGACCACAAGGGTCTCCAGTCTCCATTCCTCCTTAAAAGTTGCTCATGTCATTTGAGGGCTTTGATTTTTCATTTGGCCACAGGTTCCTGTTGCAGCCAGGATGCTTCTTTGAGTTATATAAACTAAGGATTTGCTTTTGGGGTGAACTATGCTGATTAAAATTTAGCTGGATCTAAACAGCCCGTGGTTCCTTGGAAGCGTTTGTTCCGTGGGTGGCGCTTGGTCATGGAATGCAGTTTTGAATCTTGGGCATTGTCTTCAAGGGTCCTAGAGGTGGGAGGACCCCCAGTTTTCGTTTTGAATTCAGGGCCTCACCCACAGCAGGCAAGTGCTCTACCACTGAGCCGCAACCCAGCCCGAGGTTCCCAATTCTGAAGATGAGGGCTTGAGGTTCGCAGGTCAGGCGTCACACTCAGGATCTCGCAGCAGAGTCAGACTCCTGTTTCTTTTATTTTATTTTATTTATTTTTTTGGTACTGGGGATTGAACTCAGGGGCACTTGGCCACTGAGCCACACCCCCAACCCTATTTTAGCCCTATTTTGTATTTTATTTAGAGACAGGGTCTCATTGAGTTGTTTAGTGCCCCGCCATTGCTGAGGCTGGCTTTGAACTTGGAATCCTCCTGCCTCAGCCTCCCAGGCTGCTGGGATTACAGGCGTGAGGCACCATGCCCAGCCAGGCCCTATTTCTTTAGGGCCTAGACTTTTTTTTTTCTCCCACCGTGTTGCTGGGGCTGGAACCCAGGCCTCCTCATGC